GGGGGGGGGTAAAAGGTGTCAATAAATATGGGCGTAAAACATCTACAATTATTGAGCAATGAGGGGGGGGGGACGTGCATAGGGACTCTCTTTCCTTTTCAAACCTCAGAACAATCATTATCCAGTGCCAGATCTGCGACAGATATCAGCGATCATGGCTTTCCATTCATTCCTATGCTCGGATGCTCTTCAAAAAGCCACGTTTCCCTGATCTTTTCCTACCACCCACTTGTTCAGGTTCCCCAAGTAGGTTGCTCTGGGCCTACCCCTGCCTCGATTGCTTTCAATTTTGCCACTGAGAGCTAGATGTTCAAGACGCTTACGTCTATTTAGGTATCCAAATAACTGCATTTGTCGTTTCCTGATTGTTTTTAACCTTGGGCATCCCACGTGGGTTTCATCAAGCAATACCCCATGTAATTTCTTTTCCTTCCACAATACTCTTAGCAGTCTCCAAAGAAACCTCAGAAGAAATTAGACGTAAATGATGAGAGAAAACAAAACGACAAAGGCCTACCTTGAACCAGCGAAGACTTGGGGCTGGGAATCCCTGAACTTTACATTCCAGGACAAGGGACTGGCCCTCCAGCACCGTCTCCTCGCCTGACAGACGCTGGATAAATTCCGGAGCTGGAAGATAAGACAAGATGAAAATAGATAAGAGATGAGACAAAAGATGAGATCTATAATTGTCTCTACGTCCCCGACAAACACTGGATAATCTCAAAAGTCAGCTGTCAACTCGTAATTCGGCTATGACCTTCGAAATCAAAAACATTAATTTGACTGTCATTCAAGGTTGGCAAACGAATCGGTTGTGTTAGGCCAAAGTGGTAGCCTTTGACCCTCCAGAAAGGGAAATGCGGCTGGTCGAGACTTCTCCGATCAATGCTATTGGCAGAGTGTGCACTGGGTGTTAAACAACGAGTTGTTCTGTCTTTACGCTGAGACACTGTGTTCCTCTCAGCACGGATTACGACGACGAAGAAGAAGAAGAAGAAGAAGAAGAAGAAGAAGAAGAAGAAGAAGAAGAAGAAGAGGAAGAAGAAGAAGAAGAAGAA